CCGACGGTGTCGGTAGAGAAGTGTCGGCTGCCACCATACCAAAAATTTTTCCGTGCCACCACACTTTGAGCAAATTTACCATAGTTCAAAGCAAAATGAAAAAAATAAGAACGAAAAAGGAAAGAGGAACAGAAATATAATAAGCACTAGGCAGAGGGGATGCTTGCGGAGGCAGGCGCGTGCTTGTGTCGGATCAAAACAAACTCTAAAATAAAAATGGTAGTCGGAACGACAAGTGTACAAAAGAAGCGGGGAAACGGGGAAAGGAGCGGGCTTTTGTACATTTGCTTGTTTGCCGAAAATATGATATTTGCGTGAAATCGATTTGCTGGTTGCAAATTCATTTTTGCAAACATGTATGAATTTTTCTGTTTCAGCAAAACATGTATGCATTTTTTTATTTCAGCTAAGTTGATAAGATTTTCTGAGGGAAATAAGATTTTCTGAGGGAATATTTTCCACAATCCATACGTACATACATATATCTATCCACATATATATATACGTACATACATATATCTATATATTGGAGCATTTCATGAAATTTCATCTATGTATACATGCGCAATAGGCTAGCTCTTTATAAGTTTCGTGATACATATTTGTATACATAAATATGTACAAACGCGTATATATGTATGTATGTACATATGCCAATCACCTACAAATGAAAATCTGTTTTGCATTGACATCGGTCCGTTTAAATACCGTTATTAGAGTCTGATTGGTTGTTAAGTATAAATGCGCGAAAATGAAAGATAATAAAGAAAAAATGCTAACGTCTTTCATACGGAAAAGTTTTCCGAGCCGTTCGGACGCGTTTTTTGAGCGAATTTTTTTTCCTGACTTATCGCGCGCCCTAAATCGACGAGATGTCCAGCATTCGCCACTGCGTAGCCCGGGACTGCCCCATCACCAGTTTGGAGGCCAAACTCTATGGATGGCCACGGGATAAGGAGATGGCCCTGAAGTGGCGGCAAAACCTCCGGATTTCGCCAGACGCCCACATTGCCCCAACCAACACCTTCATTTGCGGCGCCCACTTCCCTCACTTCGCCGTTGGAGGCCAGCGACTGCAGCGTGGGGCGGTCCCAACCCTCAACCTTGGTAAGTTGTTTTCATTAAGTTTAGTGCATGAAGTTTTTTAGTGAGTGCAGTGGACATATGTGTGTAGGAATATGTATGTACGTATGTATGTATATATACAATACAATGAGTGCATTCCAAAATAGTGAATATGCATACATATGGGCTATTCCATGGTGCTGGTGAAAGTTATTATGCTGTCAGCCATTGTTATTTCTGCTTGTTTTGTGAAATGAGCAAACGTTTGTGAAGACATTTATAAACGCGTTTTACTTAATTAATTGATTAAACGCATGCGAACCTTTTAAGGATAATATATTTGTGGAAATAAAAGTGATAAGTGTAGTGTTATAATAAAATATAGTGATAGTAGGCGGGATAACAAATAATAGTATCCCCACCGAGTTTCATAAAAAATTCAGTATACTTCGCGAGGAATAGCAATTAATATTTTACGTGGAATGGCCCATATGTATGTATTTTGCTTGTTTGTGTGTGTACATATGTATGTCATTTGCTTCTTTCTGTGTGTTCAAAAATTTTAAACGTGTGTGAATGTGTAAATGTGTGACTGGTGGGGCAGGTCCTTGTGCCTAGTGAAAGTGATTATGTATAATTATTATGCATATGTATATTGTATGTTTATTGATTAATACTGATGTATTATGTATATTGAGGGAGTGGGTTAAAATTAAGTCGGTACTTAACGTTAGTTGTAGTTTTTGCCATAATTTTTAATGGGTTTTTCGTCAAAAAATCTGCTTTAGTGTGTCCATATGTTTGTACAGATATGTATATGCATGTACATATGTATATCGTCGTTTAAAGTACAAAACCACGTATCAACAAAATGCAAACCCGCATATGTGAGGTTGCATAAATTATTTTCAACATAGATTATTTTCTACATAGATTATTTTCTACATAGATTATTTTCTAGATAAAATATTTTCAGGATGAATGGATAAGGATTCAGCCAAGAGCTTGTGTGTGATTGAGCCAAAAACGACGATACGCGGTTTTGTACCTTAAAAGACGATATGTATGTATAGGTGCAAATGTACATTCAGCTTAAGTAACCAACATTTTTGGGTACCGTGAATATTTAAAAGTTATCTGAAGAAATGCTCGTATATTTATTATAATAGGGATGCGAACTGAATTTAGAAATTTTTGGCCGTATTCATAAAAAATAAAGTAGGTGTAAAGAGCGTTATAAAATGACGTTTTCATAAATTTTTCAGTTTATAAACCTTTTTTAAAGCTACTTTATTTTTTATGAATAAGGCCATTTTTTGACTGTAGAATTTTTTTTTTATAAGCAAATATGGTACATTCAGTGATGTGTGTTTCGCAATATGTACCATATATATTTAGGACCAGATGAAGATGAAGATGTCGTTCTGCAGCATTCGATTGAGGAGGCAAAGGGGTACCGCAGTTGCTGCGTTGAGGGCTGCTTCCCCCATGACGACCAGACCCTATTTGGCTTCCCGAGGACGGAAGTTGCCTTCAATAATTGGGCCTTAGTTTGCAATTTGAAAGTGTCATTTCCGCCAAATACAAAAATTTGTATTTGCGAACGTCATTTTCATAACAGATATTTAACTAAAACGCGACTTTTAAAGGGGGCTTTTCCTCTATTCAATTTGCCACCTCAAATTCCGAGTGAGCCAAATAGCTGCTCCTCCGAATTAATCCTTCAGCCTGTTAAGCATGTTTACATGCCGAAAAAGTCGGAATGCTACTTGACACTCGAGCAATTCGAACAATTCTCTGATTTAGAAGTCAAAAGACAGTGTTTTGATGTTCGCGGCACTGAGGAGGGCCTTAGCAATGAACCAGGTTTTTGCGACCATGAGTCTTTCGCTCGGGCTGCGCGTATTTATCAGGGTAACGCGAAAGAGCATGACATACGTATTGAAGAGTTGCAAAACGAAAACGTCGCGTTAAAGCAACAAATTGCTCGTTTGCAAACACACGCGATAATAGCTTCGCCCGATTGTAGCGATGACGCTTTAAATTTTGCTAGAATGATAGTACGGTCGGTTAGTTCCTACACGGACACGGAAAAAACTTTATCTCAAAATATTAATTACATGTCGACTAAAGCCTATAATTTTATGCGCGATGACTTGAAGTTTTCACTTCCTCACAAAAAATCGCCCTATTAAATATGTATCGCCGGGTATAGATTTTAAAGTAATAGAAAATTTAAAATATGTCGTTTCTGAAATGTCTCCCACCGAGCGGTTTTGCGAAATTTTATTCGACGAAATTTCTATTAAAAAAGATCTCGTTTATAATAAAAGTAGAGATATTATTGACGGTTTCGTGGATATTGGCGACGGTAATCGCGACCTCAATGTCGCCGACAAATGTTGTTTTTTCATGGTGAAAGCCATCGCGGCGGATTGGAAATATGTCCTTTCCTATTATATGGTAAAAGGCGGTATGTCGGCTTCAAATCTTTTAGAATCCTTAACGGAAAATATTAAAACGGTTGAAGGCCTCGGCTTAAGCGTCAAAGCCATCGTCTGCGATCAAGGCCCAACCAACGTTCGTCTTTTTAAACTTTTAAATGTCTCCGCGGAAAATCCGTTCTTTATTTTCAATTCAAATAAAATTCACTGTCTTTACGACTATTGCCACTTAATTAAATCGGTTCGGAATAACTTATTAAAGCACGATTTGAAAACTGTTGATGGCATCGCGAGCGGTAAAGTCATTCGTCAATTATATTCGGTAGATAAAGCGAATGTAAACTTCAAGGTATGTCCTAAGCTTACAGCTTCGCATATTTACCCCAATAATTTTGAAAAAATGAGCGTATCCCGAGCGACGCAGCTATTGAGTAATTCGGTAGCTGCAGGCATTGATATGGCGCAGAAACAAGGGTTGCTAGGGTCTGATGAATACACCCTCAAATGTGCCAAGCCGACTCAGTTGTTTGTAAAGCGCATGAATGATTTGTTCGATGAGCTCGATTGTAAGAGATTAAATAATAAAAACCCATTGAAGGGTCCAATTTGGCGCGATTCTGTAGACAAGCTTAACAGGCTTAAGGACCACATTAAATTCATTTCGTCGATTCAACTTCCCAATAATATAAATTCCTTGTGTTTTGGTGGTTTTATTTTAACCATTAATTCTATGATTAATTTAAGTCAAGATGTCTTTGAAAATTGCAAAGATTTAAATTTTATATTGTTGGGAAAATTGAATCAAGATGCCCTTGAGAACTTTTTTTATAAAATCCGCGCAACTCAGGGCATTAATACGCATCCATCGGACCATGAAATTCAGTACATTGTTGCTCGCTTAATTTCTATGAAAATTTTGAGACGGAAATTTGATAAAAAAGGTACAAACTGCGAAGATGATGAAGATTTGAACCTGGATTGGAATATTGCTGATGAACAGGCATGGGCAGAGAGTTAGCAGGTGCTAAAAGAGCGTAAGCGTTGCGTGTACGTATACAAGCGAGAGCGCAGCGATGAGAACACGACAGCATGCAAAATGAATTAGGTACACTAACACATGCTCACTTTTAGCTCACGCTTGTTTGTGGTAGTGCCCACCTCTGCTGATGAAGATTCCTTGAAAGACAATTTAGGACCTTCAGAGCAACTTGCGATGGATGTCGATATTCCAGAAGAGCAATTTTCTTGGGATATTGACATTCCTGAACAGCACTTTGCTCTCGCGGAAGGGGCATCAGCAGAAATCCAGGTGCAAAGGTACTACGCAGGTTATACCATTTACCAAAAATTATTGTCAAAGTCGCAATGTAAAACTTGTATTGACGCGATGGTGAAAACTCCAGGCGAACTGAAAGACTATTCCGAAGCCTTGATCCGAGCTAAGAATTATAAAGAATGTCCTGATGTGAGACTAATTAATGCACTCATTGTATTGTATATATACATACATACGTACATACATATTCCTACACACATATGTCCACTGCACTCACTAAAAAACTTCATGCACTAAACTTAATGAAAACAACTTACCAAGGTTGAGGGTTGGGACCGCCCCACGCTTCAGTCGCTGGCCTCCAACGGCGAAGTGAGGGAAGTGGGCGCCGCAAATGAAGGTGTTGGTTGGGGCAATGTGGGCGTCTGGCGAAATCCGGAGGTTTTGCCTCCACTTCAAGGCCATCTCCTTATCTCGTGGCCATCCAAAGAGTTTGGCCTCCAAACTGGTGATGGGGCAGTCCCGGGCTACGCAGTGGCGAATGCTGGACATCTCGTCGATTTAGGGCCCGCGATAAGTCAGGAAAAAAAATTCGCTCAAAAAACGCGTCCGAACGGCTCGGAAAACTTTTCCGTATGAAAGACGTTAGCATTTTTTCTTTATTATCTTTCATTTTCGCGCATTTATACTTAAAAACCAATCAGACTCTAATAACGGTATTTAAACGGACCGATGTCAATGCAAAACAGATTTTCATTTGTAGGTGATTGACATATGTACATACATACATATATACGCGTTTGTACATATTTATGTATATACATATGTATCACGAAACTTATAAAGAGCTAGCCTATTGCGCATGTATACATAGATGAAATTTCATGAAATGCTCCAATATATAGATATATGTATGTACGTATGGATTGTGGAAAATATTCCCTCAGAATATCTTATTTCCCTCAGAAAATCTTATCAACTTAGCTGAAATAGAAAAATGCATACATGTTTTGCTGAAACAGAAAAATTCATACATGTTTGCAAAAATGAATTTGCAACCAGCAAATCGATTTCACGGAAATGTCATATTTTCGGCAAACAAGCAAATGTACAAAAGCCCGCTCCTTTCCCCGTTTCCCCGCTTCTTTTGTACACTTGTCGTTCTGACTACCATTTTTATTTTAGAGTTTGTTTTGATCCGACACAAGCACGCGCCTGCCTCCGCAAGCACCCCCTCTGCCCAGTGCTTATTAGATTTTTGTTTCTCTTTTGTTATTCGTTTTTATTTTTCGTTTTGCTTTGAACTATGGTCAATTTGCTCAAAGTGTGGTGGCACGGAAAAATTTTTGGTATGGTGGCAGCCGACACTTCTCTACCGACACCGTCGGTCGAGTGGTGCACTCGTCGAGGTGTGGTGTATTTG